TAAGAAATTAGTTTAAAATTATAGACCCATCTCCATACTACCTACGTTAGCGAAGATTTTTGAACGATTAGTACATAACGCCGTTTATCCGCTTTTACGTAACATTATATTGCCACAACAGCATGGCTTTGTTAAGAATCGATCCACTGTGACTAATTTAATTATTTACTCGACCTTCCTATTTGAAGCTCTCGATGCACGTAAGCAAGTTGACTGTGTCTATATAGATTTTCGCAAGGCATTTGACCGGGTGGACCACAAGATGCTACTAGAAAAAATTGCCTATAATGGAATAAGAGGTAATCTATGGCGGTGGTTTAAGTCTTACATCTCAAACAGAATGCAAAAAGTGGTTATTAGGGGTCACGAATCTGAATGTGTACCGATTACTTCAGGCGTGCCACAAGGATCTATTATTGGTCCTTTTCTATTTATAATATTTATAAATGACATTAATGAGTGCTTCCGTTCAAGTAGGTTCCTTTTATATACTGATGATTTAAAGGTATACAAAATTATCAAAAACACTAATGATCATTTAGAATTACAGGATGATTTAAACCGTTTCACATCGTACTGTAACAGAAATAAGTTAGAACTCAATCTTAATAAATGTTAATCTATAACTTTTACAAAAAAGAAAAAAGCAACTCCTGCATTTATTATTTATGTGGTACCCCCCTATCTCAAGAAGTGGCAATCAGGGATCTTGGAGTAACTTTAGACACTAAATTACATCTAGACATACATATTGAAAATATTATTAACAAAGCTTATAAGATGTATGGTTTAGTTATCCAATCTGGTAATATATTTAAAAATCCCTTGACTTACTTACACCTTTACAGATCCTTAATACGATGTCATTTGGAGTATGCAGTGGCTATTTGGAATCCTCTATATAAAAAATATATTGATAAACTAGAACTTGTGCAGAAAAAATTTTTAGATGTATCCATTATGAATATGCCAGAAAAAAAACCGTATAATGAACTCATGGCGGATTATAACCTCACTACTCTTAAATCAAGGCGTATAATTCTTGAATCAATGTTGTTTTATGATTTGTGTCACAATAGATACGACTGTATGGATATAATTGAGAATATAAATTATAGGGCACCTACCAGAGCACATCAGCCCGTGGCCCATTCTCATAAACTTTTTTCAATCAATTTATGCCGGACAAACGCGGGACGAAGGTCCTCTTTATTACGTATGTTGCACTCGTACAATGAGAATTTCAATGCTAACGATATCAATGTCACAGGACGTGATAATTATAAGAAGATTGCCACTGAAAAACTTAAGCAAGTAGTTATTGAGTAGATAGTGGAATATATGACACGTCTATTTAGAAAAAAAACTAATGAGCAGTGGTGTCATATATCCTACAATAACCCTACAATACTTGTTAGTCGATAATAAGTTTCTTATTTAAAAATAACAAGATATTGTCAATTTATACTATGTAACAAGCTTCATCTATCTTTAAAAACTGTAATACTTAAGTGAATGACCAGCGTTGCTGAGTTCATAATAATAAAAAATGTGTAGTAATTACATTAGATAACTTGATAATTGTGAACTTGTTTGTGGTCCGAAGTTTAATAAATTCAAAAAAAATTTATTAGGCATGGCATATTAATCCTTACGAACAAAAGTTACTTCATCATCAAGACAATTTATAAGAATAAACATGGCCCTTAATAACATGTTACTTGGACGTATAGTTTAAGAGATAATAAAAAATTAAAATAATTCAACACTCGGTTCGTCACGCAATCGACGCATAAATGCTAGCCGCCCGATGAGAACCGAGAGAAACCAGCAGTGGAGGCTTCTATTAGTTTAAACATTCTAAATAGCAATGTAAGGAAAAAATGCCAAAATTAATGGAATGCTTATGTTTAAAATTAATAGAGTGGAAAAATAAAGTTTACCTCTTTTAAAGAGCATCTTTAATTCTTTACTTTAGTCATACATATCTTGGTAAAGTAGGAAATTTTTAAGAAAACTAAAGTGGTGCTCTATACACCGGCTGTTCGAGCCAAACGCTGTTTTCGGAATCGACGTCAGAGGGCGCGCGGCTCGGTGCCATACCGGTTTGACATTCGGTCGTGCGTAGAACGCGCAAGCGCAGTAGTCTGCCAGCTTTGCTAACGCCAGCACGCTGTCAATTTTTGTTCGGGAACTCGGAATAATTAGGCGTGGCTAGTAAATATACTGTCTAGGATTCGTGACGCGCATTCCTTGCTGGAGAGCTTCCCAGGGACTCATTGTGTCTGACTCAGAATCTGTATAAGTGCATTCGACAATATTAGCTAAAGTGACCTTTGATATACTAGAAATAACCGTTGCTACGCGAAGCGGTAGTGACCTTTGATCCGGACACTCCCTCTTAGTTTTGTGTGTTAAGCTTTATAACAAACGAGAGTTAGTGGCTTCTGTAAGTTAGTTAATAGTACGAAAGAGTTAATGGACTGTCATCGTGACGAACGAAGAAAGTGACTGTGGACGGCGCCGCGGAAGATTACCTCAATTTGGAGCGGTGCTGACGCCCGGCTGCTGCTGACGGCGAAGGTCTACTAAGGTCAATCACCACCAATCACACCCAGATACAAATCACAGCACCTTATTTCCCTCGCACCACACAACCACATGCTACCTGACCGAATCCTGAGAGACCAGTCGCCTTGGATATAAGTAAGTGAGCTCCGTCTGATATTCTCCCTGTTGAATGGCCGTAGTATAGAACGCTCCCCCTGATTGTTTAGTGTAACTAGAGATTTTCCACTTTGGCCTTAGGAGGCCCGACCTACGTCTGTTCGTTGAAACTCTGCTGAATGGGCCACAGAGGATTTGATCTTTATGGGAGCAGCCGTAAGCCGTAACACCGGCCGTGCCAATATTTCTAGGGAAAACGTCGCCGAGTGCCGGAACAAACTTGTGTCTGAAGTCGAGCCTTTGCTACAACAAAGTTTCGGATTGGGGGCGACAAAATCTATTCCAGTTTGACATACATAGTCTGTAAATTTAACTTTGTACTGCCATTTGTCAGCTCCAATAATCCTCACGAGCAAGTGAATTTTGGCTTGAAGAACATTTGTTACGACTCTCCTATAAAGATAAATTCGAAATACATATACAGGCTGTTCTGTATATAGTGGACAACCTTACAGGTATCAACTAAACATTCTAGGTACGGTTATAATAAAATAAAATTACAAAAAAACTTAAACTTTGCTTCGATCGTGAGCTGTGGTGAGCCTAGTGCGATTATGTTGTCATAATCACGAAATTATTGTATTGTCGTCTGTACAAAATTTCAAATTATAAGGAACTTCAAATATTTATAGAATAAGGTGAAAACTGAATTATAAAATTCCATTATATTTATACACGCATACATAAGTACATATACACATACAGATCAAGCTATTAAAAAGAGAGCTGTCTTCATAAGATTTTATTAATTATAAAATAAAACCATAAAAATTTAAATTTTTCGTTGTACTTAACTATTTGAATTCGAAATATTACCTAAAATAACAAACTGTAAAAAAGTCTTTATTGAATCTTGTGGAAACCGAAAGAGATAAGGCATGAGTTCTTGTGATAGAAAAAAATTCAACGATCAAAAGAAACTCAAACACTAGAATACTGTATGGTAGCAAAAGCTTACTTTATATTAAGACCTAAGATATAGCAATGCTGCACCTAAGTATGTCAGGGTTGTATCACGAATGGGTCAATTTGACCAACAATGGTCCTAGATACTATGCTTAATATGGTGAGTGTAAAGAACTGGATACTCTTTTTACTGCTAATGAGGCATTTCCTCTTAGTCATTAGGGATGACAACGCATCTGCATTATGATTCTTAACTGAGGACAGATGTAGATGTCTATGCTCCCTTTCACTTACCACCAAGTAGACTGTTTGCTCATTTGTCATCCTTATTGCATTAAAAATCTTCTCAAGCTACAGTATCAGTTAGGAAGTTATTCCGTATAAGAGCATAATGCAAAAGGATGTGTAGATTCTGTTTCCTAGTGGAAGGAACACCTTGGCACTTTCTAACTGAATCGGACCCTTAATGCGCAAACGTAGCATTCATCTGACCTACTATGTACTAAATCCAGACTAAGTGAGAAAGATGACGACTAAACATCTTCCGCAATTAATTTAGGGTGTAGTGAACTACTGCTCATACTGGTTGCAGTGATACTGGTCTTGTAAGGCCTTCGCACAAAAGAAAAAATTAATCATTATCATTACGGCCCGTCACTAGTCCAATGCTGAATAAGAGCCTCTCCCAAGAAATGCCATAAAGCACGATCCTTAGCCCTCTTGCCCATCGACTTCCTGCATATCTTATCAGATTGTGTCATTTCATCTATTTGGGGGTCACTCTACACTTCGCTTACCAGTTCAAGTCTGCCACTCTAGAACCTTCCCTTTCCATCTGTTGTGGATTTTTCGAGCAATATGGTCAGCCCAATGCTACTTCTACTTCCTAATCCGTTGGACTATGTCGGTTACTCTGGTTCTACTGCGGATATCTTCATTTCTAAGTCTATTAGGCAGGGAAACCCGACCATAGCCTGCTCCATATTTCGATGAGCGACTTTGAACTTGTACATAAAGTAAATATTATTCACTATAAATAGAACAGTCTGTACACGACTTCTTTTTTCTCAACAAGAAAAGCCACACCCTTGTGGGGGTTGGCAATAAGTTCGCAGAACAGCTTCTAATATTCTGTTGGTGACACAAAGGGTCATATTCGAGTACTTCGAGGAGGTTTTATAATATCCCTTTGACTTACCTTGGTCGGCTGGTCGGAGGGGAGCACTAGAGTTTTTTCTCTTTCTAGTTCTTTGTATCTATATTATAGTAGTTTTATTATATTGCTTTTTTGCTATTTGATATTGAAATATCAAAAAGCTTAATGGTTAGATGACAGAAAGATAAGGTTCACTGTACGATGATTGCAGTCGCGTGTGCGCTGGTAACGTGTGTGCTGATGCGGTGGGGCGCGGCGAGCGCGGGCACGCACGTGGCGCTGGGCGCGCTGGGCGGCGCGCTGCTGCTGCTGCTGCTCGTGCTGTGCCGCCAGCCGCGCCGCAGCGTCGCGCATCTCACCTTCACCGTACGTACTGCACTCACAACATACTAGTTTATTTATAGGAGAGGGGGCAACCGAGCATGCAGCTCAGGCTCACATGATGGTAAGTGGTATTTTATAATGGATTCCATTATTTTGTAGAACAAGGAGGTGATGGCGATAGGCCTGTAGTTGGACGGATCTGAGCGGTCGCCTTTTTTAAGGATCGGGCGGACAAAAGCTGTCTGCCATAATTTCGGGACTACGTCTAGGTAGAAGCAGTACCGGAAAAGACGCGTTAGAACCGGTGCCAACACCGGAGCACACGTCCTCAGCACAATTGGGGAATTCCGTCAGGCCCACTCGACTTGTGGATGTCCAGGGAGAGGAGTGCTTTGCAAACCGAGCGCTGTGAGAACCGCACATCCAGCATGGAGCACTCACACCGCGGGATAGCCGGCGGTGTGTTCCCCCCGTCATCAAGAGTCGAGTTGAACGCAAATAGGGAACCTAAAAAGTCGGCTTCTTCTTTTGCGGTGTGGGCCAGTGAGTCCACTCCTGCACTCCTGCTTACTGCGTAATGCCGTCTTACAGGAGCGACCAAACCAAGGCTGAGATCAGCCTCCAATGGGTACCACAGATGATGGAATAAATAGTTCCATTCCCTGTTGCACCACATCATTGACAGAGTCAGCAACAGCGGTGGGAATATCCAGCAAGAAGCAAACCCGCCCCTATGGGTAGGATGCAAAGAAAGACCGCATTCCTTCCCAATCCGCGGACCTGTAATGCCAAACACGGCGGCAACCTGCTGAACGCAACTGCGAGGAGAGCGTGAGTGGCACCACACTCTAGATCAGACAATGGTCCGAAGAGCCGAGAGGGGCATTGACAGAAACATGATGTCCATCTGGATGAGAGTTCAGCAGAAAGTCTAACAGAAGGTGTATGAATCGCGAACTCGAAAGGTCGTGGGTTCGAATCTGCCATTTGACTACTGTCGTGAAGTGGTTAAATGGAATATTAGTAATGTTTAATAGCATTACTAGTATTTTTTTTAAATAAAAAATAAAAATAAATAAATCTCTGCGGATGGGACCTGTTGTATGAAGGAATCTGTAGCCATTTGGACGTAATCGATGAGTCGGTCTGTGTCGGCATTACCGCTGTGGGACCTATAGACGCACCTATAGACGCGCGGATGGTTGTCGCGGTCTACGCGTAGCCAAAGGATGGACAGGTCCGAACTTTCAAGACTGCCGAGGCGTCGAGAACAGATGTCCTATCTGACGTCTACGCAAACTCCAGCCTGAGGCACAAAGGAGTGCTCCAATTTGTACCCTGGGTAGGAGACATACGAAGTATCAGCCGGAGAGGACACCTGCGTCTCGGTCAGAAAGAGCAAGGCCAGCTTCCCGTTACGAGATGGTAGTAGATGGCGTTTAGGTTCGAGTGAAGTCCCCTGATGTTGCAGAAATTCACGGATAGCGTGGCAGGGGTCGCTTGGCCTTGTTGTGCTCAGTTTTCCCCGAGCAGTTATTGTTTTGAGCGAAATTTTACCCCCCCCCCCCTCCCCTCCCCCGCCCACAGAATATGCGGGGCGCTCAGGCTGCCCATCCGTAATTAGGTATCTCTTTTATTAAATTCAGGTGTGTATCTAATTATTATTTTTCATTAACCTTTGTTTAAAATACCGCTTGCTTCTTAAATGTTTCTTAATAGTCATGGTTCTGTCATCTTAAGGCGCAGGTTGAGCAAAATGTCGCGCTAGTCGTTATTTGTGTGGTTTTTAGGAGCTATCTACTTTTTATTTAAAACATATATCAATAAATAAAAAACACATTATATTTCTACATAATCTTGATTCCATAAAAGCTATATCCAATTTTTTTTTAAACGAATAAATATTAATATAATCTCCTTACAACGAAACCACATAAATGTGAAATTATTATTGATAACATGCATCTCCTCGTAAAGTAAGTATTATTTTATTTTGCGATTTACACCAATGGATAGGCAATTTATTAATAAACATTTCTATAGTAAATTTTTTTTCAAAAGACCAAAATTTGGTTTTATTAAGAAATTATTTTAAAATCTGGGCATATTCACTGCTCACGGGCTTGCTGAAGTCAGTGAGCGCTGAGCTCTTCGACGCGAAGCCCGTGTCGTTAGAGCGTCGACCAGCGCAACTCACGTCATATTAGTCGATAATAATATTACTTATTAGGTTATTTATAGGTAATATTATTTGTTTGTTTTGGGTATAATTTCTCGTATTAGTTATACATATATTTGTTGTGTATTTTACTGCGCGATGAAGCTTTTTGCGTGTATTTTCTTTGAAGTAAATGCAAATAAAAAAATGAAGCACCATTAGCATGTAAGGTTCGAATCCATAATTAACATTTCGACAAATATTATAATTTACACTATAAAAGGCTAATTCAATATTATCACCCAACCACTATATCTTATTAAGTATAATACTGCCTCGTTGGTCTTGTGGTTGTAGTAGTGCGACTGCTGATCATGAGGTCCCGGGTTCGAATCCTGGGTCGGGCCCAAAAGTCAGTTATGAGTTTTTTATTTATGTCTAAGTTATAATTAGTATTACTAAGTTATAGTTTTTTGCTAAAATATAGTATATTATTTATTGCTTGTTTTTTCTTCTTTTTCAAAAAATAATTGAGTACATAAGGTGTTCTATACTTATAATTCGGTAAAAAGTATCTAAGTAGGTACTAATATATCTACTTTTTACTATTAACTAAAATTTTTTAAAACTAAATTTAACTAAAAAGACTAAACTGACCATTTATTTTTTAACTCAAAACAGGACATGGGTTTATTTATACTCTAAAAACTATAACTTTATGCAATTAGTGTTCACTGTAAAATTATATTCGGTATAGACGGTAATTATTAAATGCAACATATTTTTATTAATTATTAATTACATTTGTCAGTGGATTAAATTTTTTTTAATAAAGTTGGTGATGATTTTAAATAAAAATAAAATTCTGCTCAAGTTTTTTTATTGTTATCTTTGTTAACAACATCGCCTTTAGAACTCTGGAACCGTAAGTGTTTCTTTCAGACGTCCACAATTTATTCAAAATAAATAAAATACTCTTTCTACCGGAGCATTTGTACCAGGTAGACATAAAATATATTCGATTAAAAAAAATTATGTTGAAGATTGTTGACTTTGAATACTTCCATCCAACGAGTTACGGGACAATTTTGTGTCCCGGAGGTTTGTTTGGGGACAATGGGACAGGTGACCGAGAAAAGGGACAGTCCCGTTCAAAACGGGACGTATGGTCACTTTAGCTATAACCCGGCGACGGCTCCGTGGGGCAGTGGCTTAGCAATTAGTTGTTGCGCTGGGGGCCGCGGGTTCGAATCCCGCACGGAACAAGTATTTGTATGGCTTACAAATAATTGTTCCGGGTCTGGATGTTTGTCCTTGTGCAATTTATGTTTGTAAACTGCCTCCACGACACAGGAGAAAATCCTAGTGTGGGGGTAACGTTTTTTTACAATTGAAATTGAAAGATTGAACCCTTATACTTCTTGTTGATTTTTGTATTACCTTTATTAAAGTTACCCTTATGTATAAATAAATATAATTACGTATGTAGAAATAAAATTGATTTTCATCCTCATCAATCATTGGGGTGAGGATAATGTCTACCAGCATAAATAATAAGCAGGCTAAGTTACAAGGTGCTCAGTTAAAAAATTAGTAGATAGGTATATTACTTTTCAATACGTGACACGTAAAAATTAACAATAATCAAAAACACATCTGCGAAACATCCTATTTATTTATTTATTTTTTATTGCACCAAATATTTGTACAAAAGCCGAGCTATCTATTTATTTACCTATAGTGAATAGGTATCTGTTAAACTCACAATTTTCAATGCTTCATTTTTAATATATAATTAATTATAAAATTTCATAATTAGATAATATATGAAAATACACAATTCTAATATAATGCAACTAATATATACCGAATAAAAAAATTAAAATACATTTATCTTTGTACGCTGTGTGTATTTCCATAAAATAGTTCATTGGTGTTGAAAAAATAATACTACGTTATATTGTAGTGAGCGGCGCGCCGGTCAAATGCTCGAGGCCGTTCGCATGGAGTAGCCCCTTAATAATAATGGTCATAGCACATAAGCTGTTTTGATCGGATTTCGCGGAATTACATACATAATGTTTCAACTATGTCATAATTGATGCCCCTGCCCATAATAGTAGAATATACTGCTTATCTAAATAACAATATCAATTTCATCTGGATAGACACAAACAAAACAATTAAATGGCCAACAAGATCTCCAGGACCAAATAAAGAAAATGATAAAAAGTCTTTTGACTTTAACTTAAAAAATAAACAGTGTTGGTTGCTGTGTTAGTTCAAGTTGATAATATGTGTATGAATTGTTAGATTTCATGTTCTTTTATAATTTTAAGATACAATGTTTATTCGATCAATTTTATCCTTGTCATAAACCCTATCGATTAGTACAATAAAATAGCGACTGTCTATTTTTTTTTTTGCAAATTTAGTTAGTTCGATTCCCAACTCAGGTAAGATTTTTTTTTTTAAAAATGATGTAGTTATTCTTAGTTTGAAAAACAAAAAATGTTTTCTTTGTTCGTTTTATCTACGCTGCGCTGTATAAAAAAATTGAACGTTTAATCGACGTCTAAGAAACTGGTATGTAGTTAAGTTGCATCGTTTGCAGGTGCCACTGGTGCCGCTGGTGCCGTACCTGAGCGTGTGCATGAACGTCTACCTCATGGTGCAGCTCGACTACCAGACCTGGGTGCGCTTCATCATCTGGCTCGTCATCGGTACGATACTTTTTTGTTTGCCATTTTTTTATTATATTCTTTTTGCTGATATAAATCTATAAAAATAGAGAAGCGGACTGGTCCCCTTGATTTTGTACAAAAACGCTAACTCACGCTTCCGACGAAACGTCGACCCATGAGTTCCTGACGCCAAACGTACATTACATACGTAGGTCACGTGAGAACACCAACGCGCCTACGTTGCATGGCACAACTCTGTCCATACCTTAATAATACAAAACTCTACTACTGCTATTATTTCTACAGCCCTTGCTGAACTGCTGAACACAGGCCTTCCAAATGACAAAAAGAAACATTAAACTTAAATTTATCCAATAAATTATAACAACACAGAAAAGAAATGGATATTTATGGAAATGTTTTGTGATTTTTTAAATTTTAGCCGCCCAACTCAGCGAACAAACAATTCGCGCCAGTCGACGGCAGTACAGTATTGCAAACTCAATACTGTACTGCCGTTCTACGTACTTTACGCTTTTTTTGCACATCTACGAATTTCAGTCTCGAATCTATGTGATAATATATTTCATTACAAGTGCGGAAAGACTGTCATTGCACAGAGTTCCGACAAATGTCTACCCGAGCCGAGGCGCAGCCGAAAGTGAGGGTTGACAGACAAGTTGCAATGACGGTTCCGCACGTGTACTGAACAACAATTTTTAATACATTTGCGAAAAAATGAAGCAATTTAATAAAGAACATTTTTGGAAAATGGCACCAACCGTAAAAGAATATAAGCAGAGATTTTTTTGTTTTCTTCACCCATTCTGGGTAGGCAAAGGCAACTATGCTCATACAGCCAAGTCTTCAGTAAAAAATTTTTATTGATATGAAATGAAAATTTAATTTAATGAGATGAAATGAAATGAAACCTAACCTAACTTATTGAATCAAATCATTAAATCTGATATTGAAACAAATTAGTAGCTTCTTTTTAGAAATATTTGCATGAATCATAAAAACTTCTATGAATTTTTTTTTAGTAAATATTCGTGGTTGGTTTTTTCTTTTTAATAGACATTATTTTGACAGTTGGGAAAGAGAACGCACGAGTTCGGAAAAGGTAAAGAAAATTAAGCACGAGTATGTAATAGCCCACATCCCGAACACTATACGTCCCTGCAATACGCCACTTTTTGAGCAACTGTATTAAAAAATATTATACACCATTCGCTCTTTGTAAACTTCACAGAACATTAGTAAAATTAATATAACTTTTACTATTAAGCTGTGGTAACCCAGGGGCAAAGCGCTCGCCATAAATACCACTATACGCGAATAACGCGGGTTCGATTCTCGCTGTTTCTTGCCCACAAAAAACCTATCAGAAATAAGAGAAGACTCGTGTCCACCAGTCGGAAGTGTAAAGGCTGTAACTTTCCATTAACTTACTATTAAGAGATAGTAGCTTAATGTTGAGGATGCGGACTGCAGATTCGGATAGTCGTGGGTTCACAACCTCCTTTCAACTACTATCGTGAACTACTTCTAACATGAGCACTTTAAGCTTTACTTGGAGTTTATAACGTCACTAGTATTCTTTTTTTTACTTTTATAATTTTCAGCATGTTTCAATGTATTTGTTTCATTTCAGGTTATTTAATTTACTTCGGCTACGGTATCAGACACAGCAAGCTCGGAGAGATGCCGGTAAGCAAGCCGGTCACCAACGGTGTTGAACAAAAGAGCATAGTCACAAAATTCTGAATTCGCTAAGGAATTAAATTGCACATTGATCCGATTTTTAATTTGACATTTGATGTTTTTGAATGTTTGGATTTTTAATAGTGATATGTTCTGACTTCGGACGTGTGATATTTTAGTTTAAATAATATAATTTAGAGTTCATAATGTTAAAATTTCAGTCTAGACCGAGGCTATGCTATACAAATTCTGACATTGTAAGGTTGGAGTTAAAACTCGAAATGGTCTCAGAATACCGGCTTTAGAGCTTTTAAACTAACTGTAACTTGATTCGAACTAACTTGACACATGAGTGGATTGGCATTCTTGGGAAATTTTAAATTGCCACTTTTAATAGATATATTTTAATAGTTTTTAGACGAGGTTATGTAGATTGGAAGCCTCTCACAAAAAAAAAATTACAAAGACAAAATTTCATATAATTCATTGCCACTCCCATGATTGACTTGACATTGGCTCAATTCTATTAAAGAGAAGCCATAAAATAAAGAAGAAGACGACAAGATTACTTATTTAACATTTGACACGCAAGGTTATGTGCTAATAATAATACCGTGAAACCTGGCAACTTTTCCATTTTTGGAAGGACTTAAAAGTTTAGGACGAATTTTCCAACAATAAATGTACTGTCCGATTGGGCGTCAATGTTAAATGTGACATTATCTTCTTCGTAGCTTTTGTATTTTTTATTATTTGGTAGAAACAATGAACTCGAAATATACTAAATAATAAATATACAATATGTGTTGATATAAAAGCAGGATTAAAGATTAACTTATCTGACTATACTACTATAAGTGGACTGTAAAATCTCTAAATAGACAATTACTAATTTAGGTAAAACGATCTGTTGAAATAAAAGAGAAAGGACTAAAATCAAGATGGCGGTTTGAAAAAACCATAGCTCCAACAGGCAATGCCAATCACTCAAGCGTCACGTTAAGATAGACAGTAGATCCATATTTATACAGGGTTATTTTGCAATAACTGGCCAAACTGGCAGAGAAGGTTCAAAATAAGTAATATGGGCGAATAGTGAAGAAAATTAATTAAAAAAATATCTCAAACATTCTGTCCTTTTTATCTTTTAAATTCAGAATGCGTGGTAAAACATTATTTTAACTGATTGTCATTCATGAATATATAACGCCTACTATTTTACTACGCACGCACACATTCGTAAGGGTCACTCCGTCGGCAAAAACGTGAACTGAATCGCACACAGAGGAACGCGCGTACGCGTAATTGTTGTCCGTAAATCACATTCAATTTGGGATAATTTCAAAAAAACGCTGCACCTAATATTTTTATTCGTATTTTCAAAAAATGCAATAACGATATATCATTATTTATATATTTGAACTTAAGTATAAAATTTGGCTATTTTTTGAAAAATTACCCTGTATATTACAAACGCCTTTGCCATAATTATTAAGCATAATAATGTTATAATATATATATAAATTAAATAACTAACTTTTTATAATATATAGGTACAGTAAATAGACCTGAATGTTACCGTTTTAATGAACTGAATGAAAATGAATGAAGTTTTAGTGAACTTATTTTATTCGTATATAAAAAAATAACTATAAAAGTGTTGTTTGAATATTTGTGTTGTGACGTACATTGTGATATATTGTTGCCTTAATTATGTATATGTTACAGTTAAACGGCTAAACACCGAAGTACAGTTTAACTGCAGCATTTGTCTGCATCTAGTAGTAGTTAAAACTAGGTGTAACTGCACTTCATCTTTAGCTTTTGGCCGTGACATATTTATGCCGCGCGCAGGTTTGTCGATGATCATCTTCTCTATTTACGCGAACTGCGGTTCGCACTGGTCCGCTCAGCGGTGTTTCGTCAACGGTCAGCCAAGCGGACATTCTAAAATCGTTAACTCTAATAAACTACCTACAAAATGAATTAAATTAACGTAAAGTCACGTGTCAGTGTAATACTACGAGCAACGCTTCAATGATTGAATTCATTAATTTTAGCTTACCAGAGGTCGCTAGTTGGGACCGAGGTGAAATTACTTGTTACACAATGTCATTATAATTGAGAAGTTGCGTTTTGAATAAAAATTTATCGGTTTTTAGAGTATGTAATACATAAAACAGTGCCTCAGTGGTTTGCTCGTTAATTGTTTGCCCATCTTTAACTCTATTTTTAATTTTCTACTTTCAGAACAGTTTATCATTTTCTTATCTAATTAATATAAAATACCTATTACTAATATTTCAGACAAAAACATTAACCCATACATTCTCCTAAAAAATTAACTTCCCACGTGAATGTTAATGGTAGCTATGAAATCTGTTAAATATTTCACCTCATTCCTTAGTGACGCCTTGGTGGCAAAAGAAAGTCGCGGATGCACTCAATGAAACGTGGCGTCATGTCGTTCGACAAACCTCAACGTGCGTGTTTTAGTTGTATATCTCGGCTAATTATTACTTATAAGTTGTTAAATTTATACTAAACGCGATTTTATTAAATTAATCGATGTCTTATAATTAAAGTTGGCGACAAATATTATATCCATAACGCTAAACTGTAACTTCACTAACTGGGGATAGGAAGCAACATTACTAGTATGAGGTTATCTTGCATCATTAAAACAAAGGAAAAGAGATTCCGGAATTCCAAGTGTTCGTAATTTTGATCTGCGTGTAAGTCTTGGTCCTCAGCTTGCTACATATTTCTTTTTCTATGATCCTCAGGAGTGACAACGCGTGTGTATTTTAATACATAATCGAGAATAGATGTAGGTGTCTATGGATTACAGTATTCACTTATTTATTACGTTTGTTCTTGTGTCAGAAGTTGTTATCAGAACACAACTACTCTCTACCGAGAGGTGTTGTGTAATGTGATACTATCGCAGTGAACTACCGAGCAACAAATTGGAAAAAGGTACACAAAATGTATATTGAAAAACTTAAAGCCATTGAGTTATATGTACTACGTACTAGAGAAGCCATTCCAAACAAAAATTGTGTCCTACTCTATGTCTTCGCGCATGCGCGGGAGTAGTAGTCGCGCAAGCGCGAACACTTTAATTTAATATAAAATAAGATATTAATATAAAATATCTTAATTTAATCTAAACAAACATATTTCTAAATAAAACGTAATAATATATATTTTATGGAATTCACAAATCTTCAATTTACGCAATATTTAGTTTGTATGCATTGCACTACAGTTCAGTTGAACATAGTCAATGTTCGGAATGGCTTCTCTAGTACGTAGTACATATAACTCAATGCTTAAAGCTATTTAGATTCTTATCCCTTTACTAAATAATAAGCAATCACAATGTATGAGAAGTGGGCCTCTCCTGAATCTTCTCGTAACGTGGAGTTGTGGACGATAAAACGTATTAGCGTTTTCGATATTTTATATTATTAAATATAAAAAGTGTTATATCTTCTTTAATTGTATATATCTTTATTCATATATGTTATTAACATTTAACAGACCCATATTTGTAAACTTACTTATTAATTTTTACTTATAACTTATTGCTAATTCCTATTAAGTAGTGATTACGTTATCTAAGTACGCACGCTGCTACCTACTTGCTCTACATATAATTTTCTCTTTCCAAAACGATTTGCAGCAGGGCTAGCATGGGCGGGGGACAATTTTATCCCCGGGGAAAGGAGAAAATGTTTATCCCCTCGCTTAGTTTTATCCACCCTTAGATCATGGGCACACCGGTGGATATAATATCTACAGTAGATAAATTGGGAGATAGATTTAGACTTAGATAGATTTTTTTGTATGAATATAAACTTCAACCCACGTCCAATGAACTAGGATAAAATTGTCCCTTTCAAATGTCAAAAAAAGCATAATTTTTTTATCTTTCATTTGGCTCCATGCTACGGACGGGGGATATATGTCTACTCGTTATGTCAAACGGGGATATATCCACGTTTGACATAACAAGATAATTTTATCTCTTGTCAGTGGATATAATCGGGGGATAAAATTTTTGTCCCCCGCCCATGCTAGCCGGGCTGGAAGAGAAATCATATTAAGGTTAAGCTCGCCTTTGTACATTCTATTGAAATGTTTAAATTGTTATCATTCTATACTTAGTGTGTACAGTAAAGAATAAAGAGAAAAAGAACACAACAATGAAAATACAATAGATTTTTAAGAACTAACCTGTGATTGATATAAATATAATTTATTCATATTTGAGATCGTTTTATTACAAGCCTTATACCACAAAATGTTTAAATGCGAGTGTGTATAAAACTGAAGTAACAAACGAACTTAAGTCCACCCGATGATAAATGGCTAGGGCAGCCTTTGAACACCTGCAACCGTCCTCAAACCTAATATGGAATGCTTCGCAGCTTGCAAATGCTCTATATATACGAGTTGGCGATAAAGTAATCACATTAAATGAAACTACTTATCCTATATAACGTTCTAAGAATAACAATTAACATTCTAGTCGCAATGGCCCTTTTTTCGTTTTTTGCCTAATTACTTATGAACGGGAAAGTGTAGGTAAATAATTAACTATGTCGATGTCGCGTGAGCACTGCGTACCGGCCGCACCGTTGCCGCTTTTACATGTCACTTCTGGCCAGTAAACTAATCAAAGTGATTTATTTCGTGTCAATTTTTACGCTACGTATTTTGTTTGAAAGATGCATTTTTTTATTTTTGGTAGAATTGTTTATTTTATTATTTTAATCGACGTATATGAACTTGTTTATAGCGCCGTGTTATTTAATGTGATAACCTAATCGCCACCCAGTATATGTAATTATACTCTATACCATTTAGACCTAAACATAATGGGTAAGAATGTAGTGTTTACCCAGATGGACTCCAAGCCAGAAAAGAAGTCGTACCACCTGGTTAAAGTTAGGTATGTATGTCAAATTGCATACTTGTATTATTTCATTATATTTTGTGTACCTATCTTATTTAAGGATTTATGTAAATGGGAAGAGCTTTGCTTAACCTAAAAC